ACATTAATTATTTCACCAATAATGGCGGCAGTGTTGATGCCTCGACAAGGGCAGGCCACTAGTTACCATGATGGGCCAAGGTGATGTGTATGATTCACCATGCCTGAACACGCACGCCCGCGATCTCTGGGGGAGCAATGACGTGCTGGTGAATCTCGGATACGAATACCCCCCGGACACCCAGGCCGGCAACAGAGATGCCCTAACCGGATGATATTTAATCGTGACCTGCAACATCTACCGACACGCTTTCTGAAATGACCCTTGGCTGCTGGTATATGGCTTCAGAAGAGGAGCGGTGGTCGGTAAGTCCCACGCCCCTGTGACGTCATTCGGCCTGGCCGAGGGGGGGAGCAGTTTGATAGGAAGCGAGGGAGGAGGAGGAGGAAGAAGGGAGAAAATAGCTGATTGCGAGCACGTGTAACGGGCAACCATGTAAATGCTGACGCAACCACCGTCACCGGTGGCACCGGCATATGCGAACACACGTGAGTTCCGGAAATGCTCCTGCGGGCGTATGTTTCAGTGATTTTATCAGTGCGGGTTGTTACACATGCAGCGTAGGATCCAATGATTACACAGAACCTCTTAAACCTCTTTCCTTCTTCTTCTTCTTCTTCTTCTTCTTCTTCTTCTTCTTCTTCTTCTTCTTCCTCTTTTTTTCTTTTTCTTCTTCTTCCTCCCTCACCTCTTCTTCTTCTGCCCCATCATCATCATCATCATCATCATCATCATCATCATCATCATCATCATCATCATCATCATCATCATCATCATCATCATCATCATCATCATCATCATCATCATCATCATCATCATCATCATCATCATCATCATCATCATCATCATCAGCGCCATCGTCATCTTCTTCCTTACATTATCATTAGTGGTAGTATTGGTGCTGCCTAATGTATCCTGATTACTGGGTCGAATATGTACGATTCCATTTTGCCTCGGGACACCAGTCGAGAAGCCTCGTAGACGATTATGTAGTGACGAGCGGTTGAGATTAAAGTTGTTAAGACAGGTATTTAGGTTATGATCGTCTGATACCTACAGCCAAGTCCTAACCGGTCACTTCAGCCTCTATTGCTTCTTCTCATGCTACCCCATCTTCGCCCTAGTAACAACGTCTCTACTGTTCTCATACTCATAGTCATCAATCTGCTTTTGGCTTCCTACCATGCATATTTAAGCGACATTAAGGGCGCCCTCGTTACTCAAAAGGCAAAGCACAAACCCTGATCTCATGAATAGGCTGTTACTCATGTAACAGTTCAAATCCGCGTCCACGTCCATCAAGGGAAAAGTGAAGAAATGGCCAAATAGACTGCCCATTTTGTGCTGAGGGCGTCTATCGAGTCTCGAGTCTTGGATGTGGGTTTACTGGTAGACTGGCATAATGTAAATCCTGTCAGTATGTGTGCCGGGTGGAGATCTGAGTCAACATCTGAACTAACGGGACTCCTACAGCCTCTGACCACTTTTCAGGGAGCTCAAACATTTTCTGGATGCAGATGGAATCAGGGCTGTGGTGGGTGTTTAAGATATTGTGGCCGATTTTCGTCAAGATTTCAGCGTTTCATTTCATTCCTAAGTCCGCGCGGTCGTGTTGCCATCCTAGTGACCGTTTGACTAGCTATCGACCGCAGTAGGAGTAGGTTGCGGTTGCTTTCCGATCGTGACTTGTTTAATTTTTTGCCCTTAGTGATGGCGAATCAGTGAGTTATATCCAGGTTTAGGTCAGACGCAGTGTGCTCACCTGTCATCGAGGAGTTCTTTTTGTGGGGCAAGACACGCTCATGCCTCGGCGCTAGTCTCCCTCCACTGCTGATGATTTGGTCTGCAGGCATCTGTCGTTGAAACTTTTACAGTACCCATCGTTTACAAAGCCAGACAAGAAAAAGCAGTAGACTACGCATACTGTCAATGGCTCACTGTGACTTACTTACATTCTTTGCTTCCCAAAGCCGTGGATTTGAAGGCTGCCAGTTGGTGAGATAACACAGTCAGTCAGTCTGAAATGTTTCTTTCCTAATGTGACATCTGAGGCATTCTCACCTAGCTCGGACCCTAGCCGTCCCCACGTTATTGTTTCTATGAGGACCTGGTCCGCCGTGCGTGGCACGCGTAGACGATCTGTTTAAATTTGCCAGACGCTGCATCCCATCCCGCCTCCGGTCATCTAGGCCCTGTCATGACACGGGGCTCAGGTGGGTGGGGGGAAGGGAGCGTGCGAAAGTCCACTATAACTACAAACTAACTCGTGCGCAAATCACCGTCCCTGTCGAGCCGTCGGTTGTTACTTTACCTGAGAACCTGCGCTGTGTCAATAGACTTTAAAATATGGGGTAAGATGTGGTTTGGTAGCCCCACCTGATGGACAAAATACTGTTGGGTTTGGGGTTAAGGGCTAGGGGTTAGGGTTAAGGATTACGGTTGGGCTTTATGGTTAGAGGCTACGGTTTAGGATTAGGGGTTATAGTTAGGGATTAGGGTTAGGGTTGGGGGTTAGCGCAATTATTTCTCAATCATTAAATGCACAACCACGCACTCGCAATAGCTTTTATGCATACAACTACTTGACCTCGTCGCCTTTGCGTTCCCTGGTCCCCCCCTGTAAAAATCCCTATTGCCATCGGTCCCGTATTAAAGGTGAGTGGGATTTGTTTACTTCAGGTGGGGCTACAAAGCCACATCCGACCGAATATGGCTATTTGTTAACCGTCATCCCTTCGTTCTTTTACTCGTACATCACTTAAATGTAGTGGTGACCACTTGGGCTGATGTTTTTGCTAGTACTTCTGAAGCTTTTCAGTCGGACAATGTCCGTGAACGCAGTGGGGCTAAAACTTTTTTCGCAGTGTCCGAAAGCACGACCTTTAAAGCACAGCTTTTGAAAAAAATCTCAAAAATCAGGAATCCAATATGTCCGTGTGTACGTTTCCTGTTCATACATATGCACATTGCTTTCTTTTTAGCTACAAGTATACTGGAGATGCCTGACTGAGACGGCAACCGATTTTTCAGGCCTTATAAACGTTCATCATTTTCGCCGCGGAAAGAAAGAAAGCATCGCAAATTCAGCTGCGATGAGCCAGCAAACAATCCGGACGTGAGTGCTCGCGGCACTGGCTAAGCGACATTTCGGTCCTGGCTACGCATTGGTCAATCTTTGTTTTTGGGGGATGACTCTATTGGTCCAGGGAATTCTGTGTGGGCGGGAGCATGCCGGCGCGAAGGCCGGGGCCCCGTCTGTCATGGCGCAGTTTGTCCGTCCTGTGTCAACAACCCCACGGTGAGACGAGTCCTTAGGTCACACCTGGACGAGCGGGGGTGGCGCGGTCACCGTTGCTGAGCCCTGCGCTTTCAACGATCATTGGGTGGCGTGATGATGCCGGGAACAGCCCCTCAGAATGCATCCTTTGGCCATTTGGGGGAAAGGGCGATGGTGCGGGCGTAATGCGACCATGGACGGGGGAGACATGTCTGCGACCTCAATGAATTTGCGCGCAGGGTGTGCGGTCATCTCGTCCGCCACCTCTACTGGAATTATGCCCGTTTGAAGGAGTAACTGCTCCCCTCCGCACCTGTCCTCACTAGTCTCTAGGGCACAGCAGGACAACTAGGCTACCATTTCGGCGTGCTGTCAGGAAGGACGATCGCGATGACCGAAGTGAGGGTTAGGATACATCAGAATCGGCTGTCCCAGATTAGCGTTCTGGACGGTAGAGTAACGTAGTCAAAGCACCTTTTTCAATATACGTTACGACATATTTAACAGTTGCTTTTCCCCTTTTGGGGTGACCGGTTGTCTGCATTTAAAATTTCTCCGGTATTTTCCCGGTATGAGAATATGTGTGGCCTTTGCAGCGCAGACGGAGTGAGTGGCTCAACTCGTCATGTCATGCCGTTAATTCAGCGACGTTTACGAAATCCACACTAAGTCCTGCGAAAATCGGGCTAAGACCTTGTAAACGATTATGATTAAGAAGATACTTGGGTACTTTTCTTGGAGCTGTCGATGTCCTTGCTACTGAACACAAACAAAATATTGGTGCCCCTTATCCGCCCCGAATTTGTTTTTTGATATCACCTTTCCCGAGACAAGGAAATGAGTTTCGTAAAATCAAAAGATGCCCATTTTTTCCACTGGAATATACAAACCCGATGTCAAAGCTAATGTCGTGAGAGAGTCAGAGTAAATGAGATCAACGTTGGGGAGAAGGACACCAATTAGCTGTCAGTAGACTGGAGATCGTGTGCGGGTATATGCACTTGCGAATCTAACTAAGCAAGGATGACTGGTAGTTGTATTCAAGTCCGGAGAAACAAAGGACGGAGATCAACTGAGCATGAATTGAGGCGTAACGGAAATATCTGCCAGGGAATGGGCTCCGTGGTTCGATGGTCAGACACTCTTTCAAGATGGAATGCTATGGAATATCTAGCTGGATACCCTATCGTCATATATTTATCATTTTTCTGTAGAGCCTCGTTTTTGGTACCGATCGTCTTCCCTGTTTTCCGGCATTCTATCAGCTTACCGTCCGGCGTGCTGCCCTACCCGCAACCTCCCTCCATTACCACCATTTCCGTATGGCGAGATGCACAGTATACTGACAGTTAATTGGGGTCCTTCGCCCTACCGTTGCCCTCATTTACTCTGACTCCTTCATGACATTAACTTTGGCCTCGGGTTCGTATACTCCAGTGCATAAGTGAAGCTGCGGAACTGTTAGGATCGAATCGACCAATGGGAAGGTAGACAAACTGTTTGAATACACGGTCCCACTACTGACTGGTAGTTAGTAGTAAAACGGAAATGCAACAGGACACGGAGTAACTTGAAGTTTCTGTTAAGTAGGACAAATCAGGATGCGCACCTCACAGGAGCGTACTTAGCACACGCAGACTATTGGGAACGTAGGCAAACTATTTGAATGCGGAGGCTTGCTACTGATGGGCACTTAGTGATAAGGCGTAAATGCAACATTTGGATGAATAAAACGCAACCGTCGGGCTTCGCTTTTATTTGACAGCGGTTAGGGGAGTAAAAAATGTGCTTTTTGCGACGATCCAATGCTCGGCCTGCAACAGATAGGCCGCCTCCACCCGTGTGAGGTGACTTGTGCCTCGCCTCATTGGTAAGTCTTAAAACAGAGTTGGTTTGTCCTCTTTTGGTCCCGGCAAGAAGAGCGATTACAAGGCGGCGGCCTTGAATGGGTGGACACACCTCGTAGAATGAGCCGATACTTGGAGGTTTACGTCACTTTTCTGCACTGTTGCCACGTGTTCGGCCGCTCGCGTCCGGAGCAGTCTTCCAGTTTCTCCGACGAATTCGCTTTTCCCGCGTCTATGCTGGATCCAGTGAACGATTCCAGACCTTGCTTGTCATGGCAGTGTGTTTTTTGGTCACTTTTGATAGCGTTTGATGGTCATCTCCCACTCCAAGTGGAGCGAGAATGCGACGGACGGCCTTCGCAATGTGCTTAACGTACAAACTTACTCATCAGAATTTAAGGCCGATGTAATTTGGCCCCCTCATACGCCAAGCGCAGAATTTCGGTCTGTGGAACACCCTTCGTCGCATAGCATAATCATGGTTAGGCACATTGTTTTAGCAACTATATTACAATAAAACTGATGGCTCGGAGCATATTTGCTGCTCATTTATGGCTATCTTACCAAAACGGTGAGGATAACCAGCAGTGTCATCTTGTGCGCGAGCACCAACACCGTCATCGCAATATTTGAAGACACATTGCATCTGGCTTTCGTGCAATCAGTCATAATGTCAGTGATAATTTATATAAGTTGAAAATATCAGTTCAAATGTCACTTCAGTTAATCCCAAGGACATTAATGAGTTCCCGAGAGTCCGCCGTACTTTCTTGTACATACTCCAGTTTCTTACGTCAGTCTCTTAACTTCCTCAGAACTTGAT